TCTCCCCACCACTCTTTAGTTTTGGGGCACCACCTCAGCATTATTTTTCTTTAAAGACCAAGTGGTCACTCCACAGGTGAACCCAGTGTGGGGAGGGCCTGGCATGGGCTCGGCGAGTGGGGAACTGCCAAAACTGTGAGGGATCAAAGCAAGGCAGAACAGCCCCAGTCCTTTGCAGTGCTCCAGCCACTGCCATTCACCAGCACTGCAGAATAAATAACAAGGGATATTAATAACAACGAGCCTCTGCCAGGACAGAAACCAAATTCCTCGTCGGGCTCCCAGCAAAGGGGGAAGCCTGAACGTGACCCTGGGCACAGCTGGGGCAGAAGACACCCTGGCACCTCCAAACCCAGGCAGGGCTGCCTGCAGGTGAGGAAACACTAATTTATCAAAAAAAAAGAATACTCAGGGTCTGCAAACAACCCCTTACCTGGACACAAGGCCCTGCATGGGGGATACCCACTGCTGCTCTGGGTTGGGAGCTGCAGCCCCAACCACAGGGGTGCAGGGAGGGTGGTGCCTGCTCTTCCTGCAGGCATTTGGGAACAGGAACCCTCTTGCAGGAGGGTTCTCCCTTGCTCTTTGCTTTCATTTTTTAATTTTCAGAAAGGGGCACTACTCAGATTCCAGTTTAGGCAGGGGAATTTGCAGGGGATTTTAAAAAATCCAAGTAACAATTAGCAGAAACAAGTGCCCCAAGCCTGGCTGGATTTGATTTGGTTTGATTCACATCACAAACCTTCACCACCAGAGCAGTTCTGCACAGGCAGATATTGTTACTTTCATATTTCACATTTTTAAAGCTGCCCTTTTTTTCAATAAAAACTTGCCTGAAACTTAAATCCAACAGTCTGAAGTTCAGCTCCTCACTCCAGATTTCAACCCTTAGAGTCAGGATGGTCAAAAGCACCTAAATCAGACTTTCCATTAGATTTGTGATTGGAGTTTTCACAGGAGTTTGGGGGAATTTCGCACAGTCCCATCACTGAGAGGATGCTGAGCTCTGGATTTCCTTGTATCCCATCAAAAAACCCACCATGAGATCTCATGTGCCTGATATGCATTGGAAACCCTGCCCTGGCACAGCAGGGGCCTGGGTTTTGGGGTACCCAACTGGACAGCTTGGCTGATTCCAAACTGACCAAAACCATTCCCAGACAGACCAGAGGAATTCAGAACAAAGCTCTTTACTGCAGACTGAGCCCATCACCTGCCGAAATCCCGGGGGAGCCTTGAGGCTGCTCCCCAGCCCCCCAAACCTCTCTGCTGAGCAGGACCCGCTCCCACACCAGCCTCCCCTTTCCACAGCAGGGCTGCAATAACACATTAAATAAATGTCATGGCA